AACAAAACATATACAAGTATTAATGTAAAAGAGCCATCACTAGTAGCATTTTTAATTTCTTCTCTTTTTCAGCTATAAAAATTTAATTTAAAAAAGATATAGAAAAGAACAACCCTCCTGACTTTGTTTTTGTAAAAAGAAGTGAGAATTTTTTTTATATGTTCTTCAGTTATGAAGGGTCCTTGAACATATTTTGGAATTTCTATGGCTGAGTAATGTTAAACATTTTAAAATAAATATACTCACAAATACATTATAATAAAACACTACAACCCAACCTGGCAGAGGCAGGCACTTCAGAACTGAAACTCATAATAAGCTATGGTCACATACAGAGAACCCACCCAGAATTATGATTAAACTTCTTCTACCATGGGTAAGACTTACCCACTTCTGGGTACAACAGAAAGTGTTGAATCAATGTGATCCTTTAAAAAAAGCCAACAGTTTCCCTAACAATTTGACTCAGGGCTTACTTTTCTTCCCCTAAGCAAAAAAAAAGCAAGTCACTGAAAAAAAAGGGTTGTATAAGAATTGAGCCAAAAAAGATAAAACATAGAAATTGCCTTATAGTTATTTCCAGGTTCTGGATGAAGTCAGATCCTTGCGTGATGCTACGTAAGCGTCTACAATCCCTTGTCCAAAACCCTTCAGGCCAGATGGGTTGCAGAATTCATCACTTTTTTGCATTTTGGGAAGGTAATATGGGACACACACTGGATATTACAAAACATCTCCAGAGTCTGGGGCAATCCCTGTAATCAAACCCATTGGTACTTCTTCAGACACAATTAATGAGCAGCCCAAGGAGTGGCATAAATAAAAAACATAATAATCTCATGTCAGCTCAAGTCAGGTTTTGCTATCAAATGAATTATGGCACCAAATTCAGGCAGGAAAAAAGAAACACCTCAGTTTTCAAAGTTTTTTGGTTCCAGGACTATAGACCTTTGCCATCTCTGATAAACAGCCCCTTCCCTGACACCGTCCTCTCCACACATCTGCTCTCATGCCTGAGCTTCCAGTGGGTCGGGGATCATACTATACCCCGTAGAACAGGGGCTCTCACATTTGCTCAGGCAGCAGGTCACCTGGGGTGACAGTACTCTCTCTGAGGGCACCTTGAGAACGGACATTGAAATAGCGATTTCAAGATAGTTAATCCTATTAAATGAGGCATCATCTTGGGCTAGAGTTTAATACAGACCATCAGCAGAAGGTGCCAACATTCAAGAAACATTTATGAGAAAAGAATAAAATTGAGAAACATCCAGATATCAATTTGTATCTGTTTTCTATCATTAAGAAAATATAGCCATCACTCCCTGTCAGAGGCTGCCCAACACGACTCAACGGAGTTTGGGGACGATGGCTCCCTAAGACTGAGAGTCAAGAAAAACAAAACAGGTTCAGCCCACCGCCATAAACTGCAATGAAGTCATCCCAAGCAACTAATATATTAAATAATCGTTTCTTCTGTCTTTGTCGGTGTTTGAAAGTATGCCACTCTCGTCTTTTAAAAAGACGCCATGGATTAAAGCCATGAGACATTTTTCTTGTTTAAAGACTAAGTCATTTTAAAGTCAAGAGGCTCAAAAACTCAAGAGCAAAAAAAAAGGCTTGCAATACTTTTTAGGTCTTTAATCTTTTGTAGTTTTTTTTTTAAACAATTAAAAAAAAGTTTCTTCTTCAATAGCAGTGGTCTTTTCTCACCAAAATGGACTGGCATGTGGTATTGTATATGCTCACTGTGTGTGCACGAGGGAGGGAACACAGCATTATCATGAAAGTGGCTGTCCCCAAGTCGGAGGAACACGCACAGCGCCAGACTGAAGCAGCTGACGTAGGGGTGGTTATAACTCATCAGAGGCACTTACTGCAGGAATCCACCGGTGAACAACAAAGCCTGTCATCTGGAAACAACACTCGGGGCACCAGGATGTCCAGGGCTACGTTGTGAGAGTGATAACTGGGCTTTCTGAATATGGGGTACAAAGTGGATGTTCTCAGGGCCAGCGGGAGGGTCACAGAAAGAACGGGGTGATCATCTTATTTCAAATGCAAGTCTTTTCACCACCAGCCTTGTCACCCTACATCTTTTTTTCTTAACAAATAGAACTTAAATATGCCATCATTAGCCTTTCTTAAGAGCTACATATATGCTACAGGAGAAGGTCACACTTTCTAATTTTTTCATTTGCTTTAATAAATTCATCAATTAATTTAAAAAGTCAAGTCAAAAAATTGGTCTTCTCTTTTCTTCTGTTTTTACAAAAATATTATATCAGTATAAGCAAAATTGGAAAGGAAAGACACAGCAAGAATAAGACACTGCGATGGAATGGGTGAGCTTCAGATCTTCATGGCTATTGAGGAAACTGTAAACTTTTAAGCTCCTAAGATTCTACTTCTCTTCAGAAAACATTATAGGACACTGTCTTTCTCCGTGAATGAAAAATAAAAAGTGCCTTAAGCATTCGAGTCTAAAGAAGACAAGAAAGCATGATTTTTTCCTACTGGAAAATATTTATCTCCTTCGTCCCACTGCACTGCCCTCTCCCAGCCCTCCTTGTAGTTTAAGGGGATCAAAGAGAGAGAAGCCACGAGGGTCCCCCAGCCACAGAGTGAGTCGGAGACATTATTATGCATCCAGACACAGTGGCAATGTGTGAAACGCACCCGGAATAAAACACACCAAGTTAAAAAGAAAAAAAGGAAAAGAAAAAGAAACCCATAAAACTGCTTTCATGGAAGGTTAAGAGTCCTCAGAAGGTACATTTCTGGACCGGACCTCTATCGGGAAAGAAAGAATAAATAGAAAAAAAGGTCAGTGATCACTCTGGAATCCTGTTTCCTTACCATCACCTCTCCCCCTCGGAGAATCAGGTGGTCCCCTGCTCCATTTTGCATAGTATTAATAATAATGTCTGGAGTGGAACCTCCAACCTGTTGCTTGCAGCCAGGTTTCTGAAGAGCACTGGTCCAATCTCACAGATTCAAAAGCAAGACATAGGTGTCTGCAGGCCCCAAACTGCGTCCCATTTAGCAGCAAGCTGGTCAAATTATGTAGAGACAGTCTTTTTCCAAGGGGTAAGAATTAGGCAGTTTTGTCCGCAACCTCAGATCTCGCCCTCTGCATCATGCAGCGACGGATGATACTGTCGAAACTTCCCAGGTAGAACAAAGCGATGGTGCGGAAAAGGCCCATGGTGACCACCTGCAAGACAAGCAGACCTCTGAGCTCATCCAACAGTCCAATACAATCGTTTGCTTCAAGGGCTTTTAGGATGATCAATAGCTTCTAGGACACAACTTCCGATCTGCTCCAAGGACAAGGAAGCAGAACGAAAACTGGAAGTGCCAGCAGAACACAGAACAGAAGCTGCCCACGCTGTGCCCCTGGACAGCGCGGGGCCCGCCAGATGGGCAACAACAAAATATTGGTCCGATTAATATATGCAAGTTACACAAAGAAGAAAACAGGGATTCTTGGTGGCCCTGGGGTTCTCAAAGGTGGGGAAGAGCCGCTGCGGCATCGTCAGTATCCAAACTACACACAATCAAGGCTTTTCGGTTTAAGATGTATGTTCTGATCACACAAGGCAGACCCGCTGCTGGGCTCTGAGGACACTGCGGGGAGACAGACACGGTGCCTGCCTCTGCCAGCTCCCTCCGTAACTGGGAAGACACCCGAATGAGAAAAGGCAATTAGTTTCAGGGTTAAGACGGCAATGAACCACATCCATTCACTTCCACTCTTTCTCACTAAGCGCCTATAAATGCAACTTTTAAAAGGCACAAAACTGCAAAGAGAAATATTTTCAAATATACAAGGCCTCAAAAAATTTGCCTCCCAAGCACCCTTTTTTTTTTCAGGAAGCTACTAGAAGAGGTAACCAGTCAAAGAGAGGGATCAACAGAGGAGGGTAGTGTCTTGTGATACAGGAGGCGGGGGACCCAATACCAAGGAGAGACACAGGGGTCCCCCAGGAGGACGTGAAGGGGAGGCTGGGTTCAGCTATGCACCAGACTCAGGGGCAGCCAGACCCTGGCGGTCAGAAGGCTCCAAGAGGAATTCCTTCCAGAAGGTGAAACGGACGGAGTATCTGATATTTCTGAGATGAGACAAAGACAGTCATTATTGATAATACACAGAAAAAGGCCAACGATAGTTCCAGGGGAAACAAAAGGTTGTACAAGAAAGGAAAATTAGTGCATTACATAGCTCAGCTGTGAAGAGCATTTAAACAGCCATCATAATGGCTACTTCAAAGACAGATCTAACCAACGCCACAATGTAACTAAAAAGGGAGGGAGGGATGGAGAAGCGGAGGGTGGAGCAGGAAGGGAAGGTGTCAAAGGAGAGCCACATCCTCACCCTTCCAAGCAGAAGCTAATAACTGATCCCAAACTGAGAAACAAAGTGGCAGGGATCAGGGCAGCATGTACCCTAGAGGGGAACCCAGATTAACACCCCAACGGCAGAGACGGCGTTTTACCTCCACATCCGCAATGCCCAGCACAGAATTCCTCAAGTTACATCATTAACCTAATTCCTATTTACTTATCCCTGGTAGAGGAAGAAAACAGTTGATGCTTCAGTGAAAACTCTTCACATCCTCAGATAAGCTACCATGTCTTCCTTTAGCCGTCTTTCATCGAGGTTCAATGAGAGACGCTTGTCATCTGTCTGTGTCCATCAGTCTGACAGCCCAGGCATAGCTCACCTGCTGGAGCCCTTCTGTGATGGAAGTCACCGGAGCCATTCCACAGGTCAGGGACGAGAGCATGTACCCATCAGAGCCGATGGAGCTGTTAAAATTTCCTTGCTAAAACAGAAGGAAGAGAAAAGAAAGAGGCAGTAGTAGGAACAGGGAAAGGAATCAACTCAACACATCAGAAACAATGAAGCGTGTCCGTTCACTTCAGGTGGGAGAAGAGGGTACAGCACACGCCGGAGCTTGGGGACAATGTGGCCTTGGCCGACGGGCTGGGATGGCTGGCTGGGCACTTCTCAAAATGTGAGTCCACAGATGCTAAGTGTCCTGAGACCCTTTCAGTGGGTCCATGGGGATAGAATGATTGTCATGATGACACTAAGATATTAAGTGCCTTTTCAGCCAGTGACATTTACACTGACAGGCAAAACTGCAGTGTTAACATTAGCACGGGTCATGGTACTGGCACCTCTCCACTGCCATGCACACTTGCAGTGATAAATAAAATCACAAAGAAAACAGAAATTTAAAAAATTTTTTAATTTTAATGTCAGTTTTGCTTAAAAACACCCTTAATAACACAGTAAAATTAATCGTTTTGTTCCATCTCAACCCCTTAATACTCTGCATGACAAAAAGAAAAGCAGGCACCAAGCACTCCGTCCTGCCACGTGAACCACTTGGAAGGGGACAGTGTCTTGAAGAAGAGCCGTCCCCCAACCGTTTACTCAGGGAAGGTCCTGCCTTTTCTGCGGGACACCATTCTTACACGCAAGAACCGCGGACAACCTGTGGTTGTCAGGCGTGGGTATTTGGAAGACACTTCGCAGAAAATGAATGAAGAGACCCTGTTGCCTCAAGGGAAATTGGCAGCTTTTGTAGTCAATGTTCAACTCTCAGCTTTCAAAGGAAAATTAAGAATTGTGAAAATGTGTATGTGCCATTTGGAGAAGGTCAGCTTCCCAACACATAAAGACTTCCATGGTAAGATCAGCAGTGATATTAATGAATCTAATTTTTTGTGTAACTCAGTGAACTCATAGTTTCCAAATGACTAATGCATAATGTCACAAAACCATGAATGGGTACAAAACATTCAAAGTGCAAGACAGACCAATGGACTTCCATGTAGCAGAAGACAAAAAGCTCATTGATAGAGTTTTGAATTTCACACTGCAACTAACCTTTCAGAAATGACTATTATCCAAGCTTATGTTTCATATCCAAAAAGAAAAAAGTCCACAATTCTCTGAAAAGCCTCTAAAATATTCCTCCCTTCTCCAACTATATATCTCAGGAAGGTCAGATTTTCTTTATATCCTTCTTTCAAAATAACATATTACAACAGACAAGATGCACAGGCAGCTATGAGAATCCAGCCGCCTTCTATTAACACAGACATTAAAGAGACGATGAAACGTGAAACAACGCCACCCTTCTCGCTAAATTTTGTTTTTGAAAAATAATTTCTGTTGTAAAAATGTTAACCACTGTATATAAAAACAGATTTAAAAAAACAAATTTCTTCTGTATAGCACAGGGGACTATATTCGATATCCTATAATAACCTTTAATGAAAAAGAATATGACAATGAATATACGTACGTGCATGCATGACTGGGACACTGTGCTGCACACCAGGAACTGACACATTGTAACTGACAGTGCTTCAATTTAAATAAATAAATAAATAAATAATAAATAAATAAAAAGAAAGACTAGCTCCAATGTTCAAAAAGGAAAAAAATACCTATTTCCTTGAAATATAATAGGTTTCTCATTGCTATTTCAAATGAACAAATGGAAACATATTTCTTAAATGATACAGTTTCAATTTCTGACACAGCACATATTAATAAGCATAGCTCGTGGAAACAAAAGTCCTCCGGGGTTCTCAACAACTTTCCAGTGGAAAGTGGTCAAGAGGTGAAAAAGCGTGCGAACCTGCAGATTACATGAATCCTGCCCAAATACAAAGAGCTGCTTCGGATCATGAAAGACACGGAGTGTTTGCTTTTGACTTGAGATAAGCAGGAAAAACAAAGTCCGCCCAATCCTCTGGTGCCATCTTTCTATGCCTTTGAACACAATCAGGGCAAAGTTCTTCCAGCGTCTGTAGATATGTGAACAGCCTTCAATGTTCCCTGTACTCTGCTCAGTTCGGCCTGAACGTGCAACGGCACGGACATTCCTCCAAGGCCGCCACACAGCCTGCTGACCCCTCTCATCCCAGTCGCACCCAAATTCCCTGCATTCAGGGTGGGCCTGGGGTTTACAGGCATCCCCCACACATGGATATCCTTCTGCACGTGCCTTAATAGGAACATTCCCACGAAGCTTGTGGCGCACATGCTGTCCTACAGGAGAGCACCTGGTTTCTAAAAATACCATTTATGACTCTGAATAAACCCAGCCTGGAAGCACCTTAGCTGAGTTAACAGGATGATGGCCCAGTAGGCTGGTGCCACTTTCTTATTAGTAAACATTTGGGAAAATGACAGTGGGAAACAGGAAGGTAAAAGAAAAATTCTTAATCCACAAGTCTGGCAATAAGACACCTAACATAATCTAAAACTGAAAGTCCTACAGAAGAAAGAGGCAGCGGGCCGTACACAGTAAACGGAGCGTGCTGTTCACACACCGCAGCTGAGTCTCACCTTCCTTTCCAGAACCGAAGTTCTCAGACTGATCAAACTCTTCCTAAGATTAAGACCTATCATCAGCTTCCAGGACCCACTAATTAAGATGGAATCAGTAAGGGAAGACAAGTACAGAATAGTATTAGATACGGTCAATCTTAGCTCACCACAAAACCCCCAGCAACTTATGCTTCGAAATAAGCCCTGGGACAAGTATCTTTTCAGAAATACAGTACTGTAACTATTCCTAAAGGGAACAGGAATTTCACTTACTATGGCATCTTTAACAATTTGTTTGGCCACTTGCTCTGGTTTGCAAACAGATGTGGTCTCTGAAATAAGACGAGTCTCCAAGGGCTAAAGGTGGAAAAAAACAAGACATGTTAATTTTATCATTATAAATCACATACCATTACTGCCCATTGAAAAATTCACAATTTTTACAGCTCCCCTCCACCGATTTAGCTGTAATTCCAGTTGTCTACCTTTCTACTGATTCCTATTTTTAGAATTAGGTCTGTCTGGATTCTAAATCAGTTTCTACCTGGTTGCTGTATAAAATTCAGCCTGATAGCTGAAGCAAGACAAGGGGGCTCCAGCTACTCTCTGTGGGATGTGTGTCGCAGCTCCAGTGAGGACCAAAGCTGGAATGAGAACACATCACTGGTACAAAACCAGAGAAACTGCCTCCGCGAATCCTCGGCGCAGGCCACACACCTGACCCACGGTGTTCACGCAGCGCCTAGACCATGTGCCCTGAGGAGACCGGCTCTCAGCATCTCCGTTCTCTCTGTATTCCCAGGCGCCCAACTGCTGGACAGAGCTGAGACCCTGAGCAGGGACAGCCCCAGCCCGTTCAACAGCGGCAGCCGTAGAGGAGGCTGGGAGGAGACCAAGAGAAGACAGATCCCAGGCGTGGCTGTGTGCTCCCTACTGGGCTCGTGTGTCAGACCCCCAAATCTTAGCCTTTTATTCTTGGGTGATTAAAGGCCCATCTCAGTTGTCACCTAGCTCAAAAAGCCTTGCCTGAGTTCTTCACTGGCAGGCACTTCTCCCTCTCACCTTTGAACGTTTCCGCATTAACATATATTATTGCTGCCTATGTATTTGCATTTAGCTCCGAAGTTCCTTGTGGGCAGGGTCTTTGTTTTCATTTTTTAAAAATCTTCTCCGGGGTGACATGCACACATGGGCTCAAAAATTCTTTAGGAGGGAAATTCAGTTAGAAAAGTCAAAACTTAAGCCTTAAACAGCATGAAATGGTAAATTTTATTTACCATGTAGGCTTGAAAAAATAAAGTAAAAACCAGAATATATTTCTTAAAACAGAAAAGCACAGCACTTCATAAAAGTCAAGTGTTTCTTGATGAACCTGAATTGAGAGAAAGCCCCTTTTGAAGGTTCCACCATTCATTCTTCCAGATCCTCAGGCCGGCATAACCATGTATCACCAGATACACCAAAGATTTAAAAGCACTATGGCACCCCCTACAGGGCTCAGAGACCAAGGTAAAATTTTATTTACTGGAAGTCAGCCCAACATTTTAGTGGAAGAAAAACAAAAAAAACCCAATCTAACATCAAAATCAAATCTTCACAGGGAAGTCACCACCCTGTGTCAGCTTTGGCATCTAACTAAAAGATCTCTTACCAAACGTTGCAAATCTGCTGAGCAGATCCCCCTCGTTCTAAAACAGGGCACTTGGCTTAAATTTACTTCTTTGAAATAGTAGTAATTTTAAGAGGCAGAGCCAAAGAGAAATGAATAGGGGAAAGAGCTTCTAACTTATAAAATCTTTTTGCAAATATACAGCCCATGGAGCATAAGTGCCAATTTTTATGCTGTGAAGATTCACACTTACTAAGCGTCACTTTAAAAGAGAAGAAAACCAATCAATCAATGGTCAAGGGGATAAGTTCTGACTGATTCCTTTCTTTCCCATTTTACTTGTTTGCTCACAGAGTACCTACTAGACAGCAAGGCAAAGAGAAGGTTCCTGTGAACCAGGTGCAGAGCTTGCACTCAGCTCAGGATGACTGATGGTTGCTGCATCAACATTAATGTCCAGAGGTGATAAACACTATGGAGAGAAACAAAGCCTGGGACGAGGAAGGTCAGTGTCCCTTGGGAGGGAAACTTGAGATACAGAGGGTCAGGGAAGTCCCCTCCAAGGTGACGTGTGGACCGAGATGGAAAGAAACACAGGAGGAAGCCGTTCAAACATCCAGAGAGGATGGCAAGTGCCAAGCCCACAGGTGCGAACAGGCCAGGCGAGCTCCAGGAACAGACGGGGCTCCGGCGTGGCTGGGGCCAAGAAGAGGAGAAAACGCTTCGGGCAGGTGGCCACAGTCCAGATAGTGTGGGCCTGGAAGGCTCAAGGTCTCTGGATTCTACTCCAGGCACCATGGGAGCCACGGGAGCCACACTCCCTAACACACAGCAATACCAACGTGTGCTGTTTAACGCTAACTTAAAATTACTTAAAATAAATTAAATTAAAAATTTGGTTTCTCAGGCTCATTAGCTGCATTGCAAGGGTTCAGTAGCCACAAGGCGACCACCATGCAGCGGAGTGCAGACCTAGAACAGTTCCACATTCTAGAACATGCTATTGGACCGAGCTGCACGAGAGGTTTTTGATCTTTGTTTTGTTTTGTTTTTTTTCCAGTTTTGCTTTTTGGCTTTTTTTTGCACAAGAGGGGTTTGAATAGGGGAGTGACAAAACCTGACTAACAGTTGAAAAGGATCACTAGCTCCTGTACGGAGAACAGACCCCAGGGGTGTAAGAACGGAGGCAGGCCGACCAGGCTGAAGACCATTAGAGCAGTTCGGACAAAAACAGCAGTGGCTTTCACTGCTGGGACAGTAGTGACATATGCAGTTAAAAAAAAAAAAGGGGTCTGGTGTGGGATCAGTTCTGGGAGGACAGAGCCAAGTGGACTTGCAGGTGGCCCAGCTGGGTGGCGTGAGGGGAGGGAGGGTCAGGCTGGCTTCGCAGTTTCCAGCCCAGGCAGCTGGGGGAACAGTGGGCGCCAGGTAACGAACGAGATGCAAAATAATAAGGGGGAAATGAGAGGGAATCAAAAGTTCTGTTTTTGAAATGTCAAGCGTGAGATGCCTGTTTGACCTCCACGTGGAGACAACAGGCCAGCGGCCGTTTGGGGGTTTTACGTGAATTTAAGTTCAAGGGAGAGGAGATAATTTTTAAAGAATAAGATCTCATTCATTAAAAACACAGGCTGGACTCTCCATCAAAAATAAAACATCTTATTTATTAAATAAAGCTTGGAGACCATTAGCAGAAATCATTGGCCCTTAAAAATAGGGCTACATTCTCCAAGAGTCCAGATGACAGTTCCAGAAAGTTTGGAGGCCTCTTGCAAGCATGTAAATTGAAAGGAACTCGATTTTCTGACTAAAGGGTGGAAGGACAGAAAACGGGAAAAGGGGTTTCCAGCCACAAAGCCTCAAAACGGGGCCCAGGGAGGCAGACTTACCTTGGTTTTGTTTTCTTCCGCAAACCCAGGGGTGTCTGTGTCTGGTGGGTAGGCCACTGTGACGTAAACATTATACGGCTTCACCTGCATGTCAGAGACAACGTTTGCCCCTTCAGTCAACAAGACACAGTTTTGCATCCTCCCCCACCGACCTGCGCCAGCTGCCAGGCAGACACTCTAAATACTGCTCTGATTTTCTCAAAAGGCCGGGAGACCAATGGGGTGATTCTGTAAGAGGAGAACTGCCATCAGCAGAGTCAGGAAACCTCTGTCCCTGAAGACTGTTCAGAAATTAAAGCAACAAAACGCACCCCAACCTCGACTCCAGCAAACAGCTGGCCCGGAGGTATGGAGGTGCACCTCCTTCTGAGTTGCTTCCACTCCCACTGACCAGGGGTGGGAGGTGCCCGGGGGGAGAGCAGGTGGCGCTTTAAGAAAACCCGCTTGTCCGCCCCGCCCAGTGCACCCCACTTAGGCATGTCGTCCAGGCCTGCTCCTCTGCCCTCGGACTGCAGATCTGGTTTCCCTCGTGGCTGATTTCACCTACAACATGGACTGAGGTCCCTCACATCCCTTCCTCAGTGCCTCTCCTGTGCCCCTAGACCTGGATCCAGACGATACCCAGAGAAGTCTGCTCGCTCGGGAACTCCCTGTGCGAGGAGCCCCTGCCAATGAGGGGGTCGGAGTCACCTCCTCCTCCACAGAACCAGCAGACAGCATGCTCTCCCGGGGAGGACCCCCCAGGTCTGACCAGCCAAGCACCTCCCCTGCGGACAACCTCATCCCGTAGTGTTTATATGTGGAAACCCCTTTATCCAGAACAGCTTCCTAGGCTACTTCACCTCACTGCCAGGCCTCCTCACTGACCTTCCCCGCTCATAAACACACCCCCAGCAATTCTAGGAGATTCTCCTGCTGGTCAGCCAGGACACACCCTCCTCGCTGAACCCCTCCCTGCTCCCCACTATCTTGCTCTGATTCTTAGAGACACTAAGGGTGATGGTTCAAACCCTCAACGTCTCTGCCTTTTGTCTGCTTTGGGCTTACTGTTTAGCTCCAAGAAAACACCCAGAGGAGTTGGAAATGGACAGGCAGCTGGTGTAAGGGAGGCCACTGTGTGTCGTAAGGAGGCTGACAAGTGACAATACTGCATTTCTTCCTTATGCAACAGCCTCTGAGAGTATCCCAGGGTCCTGCATTACGTTTAGCTTTGTTTCTCCCTACTTCCGTGTGTGAGCACAGTTCTGAAGGCTGAGGGAGGAGCCGGGGGGTCAGGAGAAGCATGCAGGCAGAAGACCCTGGGCCGCCAGCCTGCAGAGGGCAAGAGCAGTGGACGATGTCCTTGCTGGTTTGGTCCCAGTGCACCAAGGGCGTGAGAGCTCGTTCACTCGGCAGTGCCGGGGCACGCGGCTTCAAGGCCCAGCCATGCTCATAAATAGCTCTGGAGTCGGGCCAGGCAGTGAGGCTGATGAGCAAGCAGTTTCTCTTCCACTTGTTTTTTGAGACAGTGACTTTACAAACTGTCTCCCACGGCCTTGCCCTCCGCTGTGCACAGAGCAGAGAAAAACACCACCAACAAATAAAAGCCAACAAGCAGTCATTAGACAGCCCACCCGAAGCCTGACGCAGACTGCTCAGACTCAGCGGCTTCTGAGGGACTATACTTAACATCCCGGAATAAAGCATCACGGAAAGGAATATATGTATGTATATGGATAACTGAATCTCTTTGCTGTACACCAGAAACTAACACAATGTTGTAAATCAACTACACTTCAATTAAAAATAAAAATTGCAGCCCCCTCCCTTCCCTGCAATAGGCCAGGATTGTGGTACATAAGCTAATATAAGACAGGATGTCAAAGCAATTTTTCTCAAGTTCAGGGTCATGGCTTGAGCTTCCAAGTGGTTAAAACAGCCTTTCAGAACAGCTTTTTCCCAGCGTGGGCACAGACTGTCAGGGCTGGGAGAACCCAGCCCAGTCCCTTTCCAGGTGCTGGTGTCGTGTCTACAATCATGGAGCCAAATGACTCTCTCAGCCTATGGCTGGACCCTCCAGTGGAATCCAGTAACCTAACCATGGTATCGATTTACCCAACAAACCCTCACTGAATGATTACTGTGCCCTTATGGAGCTTACAGTCTCCTGAAACTCCTGCTCAAGTAATTTGCTAAAATCTACATATACTAAAATCTGTATCATCCCATCACCCCAGGAGAAAAGGAAATGAGGTTAGTTTGGCTTCACTGTTCCTGCTAAAACAGTGCTGACTGGTAGAGACTACTTTTTCGAAAACTGTATAAGCCAGGACTTCCCAGATCTCCCCGTCTCCTTAGCCACTGTCTGCGTCTCCTTGTCCCTGCTGATTGACCATTCTCCATCCCCAACTCCTCTGCCCCAGTCCCGTCCTGTTATCATTTTTCTCCCTTCTGTCTGGCCTCCTTCTCAGTCAGAAAGACAACCCCTTGCTCAAGAACTGATTTATTATCAAAATAACCTCACCTACGGTGTGTTGTTCCTCATTATATCAAAGCAAAAAGGAGAAAGGGTTAGAGCTGTTGCCATGAAGCTCCAGAATTTAAATGTCAGCTGACTCTTGGCCTGTGGTGGGGAAAGATGGAGTTGGAGGATGGTGGGGGGCAGGATCAGGACAAGGACCCGATACCACATTTCTGGCTATACCCCACCTCAGAAGTCTGCTTTCCAAAAAGACTGACTTTTAAAATCTCTAAAGGATGTATCTGTACCTAAAAGACTGAGTTAAAAAAAAAAAGAAAGATAAAAATATACCAACAAAGCATTCTTTCACATTTACTTATTGTACATAAAACCTTTCTAGGTCCTACTTTAGTTAGTGGGGCAGGGGCTCAGGTGTAGAGGAAGATTTAAGAGTTAATTACACCAAACAGAATTATCAAAAGTACTTAAGAGTCTGAGCAGGTCTAGAAGGTTTCATTCATAAACACACAAGCACCTGGGCTAAACAGACCAAATTATCCAGGTTTCAAAAACACAATGTTGTACTAAGCCTTTAAGGAAACAATGGTTTTGATGCAAGTTCTGCTATGAACAAACTAAATTTTGCTTATTGAATTTATTTCCCCCAAAACCTATTTTCCATGGTACATGTTTATGGGAGGACATTTTTAATGGAGCCCAAATACAGAGCAAAGTCAAAGAGGCTAGGAAGCCCAGACTGCTGCCTACAGTGTGAGAGTCACCCGTGTCCCTAGAAGACTTCCATCTGTCCTGGCAGCTCCCTGACTTTTCGCTCCTCTTTATTGCATCTCCGTTCTGCCACACATGGAGCCAGGACACCCAGATTATACACTTTGCCCTAAATGAGTGACTCCTGAAGCCGTTCTGCAAGACAAGACTTGGGGACAAAAAGCCCTTGTGGGCAGATCTTCCTATTTCAAGACATCCCTTCACCCACGGGGCTTCTAAGACCAAAGTGAAGAGCTGACTCAACGTCTGACTTGAATTATAGACACTTTACAGAGGCAGACAGGGAGCCAAAAGGCAGAGCCACAAAACCACGGGCTTTGTTACTATTTCTGTCACAAAGTGATGACGTGGCTTTGAGCAACTCGGTGGATTGACTGAAAACTGTTTTATTATTAAGAAGGTGACATAACAACTGCCTCACATAGTTCACAAAACTGTGATAAAAATAAGATAGTTATTCATAAAGGGACTTTTCCAGGTAAAAACTGCAAAAGAAATACTGGTATTCTTGTTGGAAATTTCACAGCCATAGGTGCCCTGTTGGCTAAGTATATATTACAATGACCTGTTATTGATTAAGAATATTAAGTAAGTTGATGAAAATGATTTGTGGCTGGTTCCTTTGAAATGAGAACTGCACAGTCTGTCAGTCCCCACATGGGATTCTGTCACTGACTTGAGAATGTGTCTGTCCTCCACTGTTCATCAATTATCTAGGCAGTGTGCCACTCTGTCACATGTGTCACACACCACAAGGGCTTTTCTGGGAATTTCCTAAATAAGGGGTTGGCAAGGTATGGCCTGAGGGGCAAATCGATTTTTATAAATAAAGTTTTATTGGCACACTGCTACACCTGTTCATTTAAATCTTATACATGGCTGCCTTCCTGCTATCACAAGAGACTCGAGTCATTACAACAGGCACCATCTAGCTCTCAAAGGCTAATATTTTCTCTCTGGCTCTTTACAGAAAAGAATTTATCCAACCCTGATCTAAATTATTATTGGGATTCTCAGATCATACTCTTACTTCTAGAAGACTGGCCACAATAAATTTTCCTCTGGGCTTTTAATGTCATGATGTAGTGTTATATTTCAGTATATACAGTTGACCCTTGACCAGTGAGGGAGTTAGGGGCACCAGTTCCCTGTGCAATTGAAAATCCATGTACAACTTTACAGGTGGCCCTCTGTACCCACAGTTCAACAACTGTGGATTCAACAAACCTCAGATCATGCAGTACTGTAGCATTTACTGAAAGAAATCCACATGGAAGCGGACCCACGCAGTTCAAACCTGCGTCATTCAAGGTCAACTGTATACAATGGAAAGAATTTTACTGTAAAGTACGTGACTTGGGACAGACAGGATGCGCTCCAAGCATCCCCGTGTGATGCAACACACGGTCTGTTTCGCACAGCAGAGGTGGGAGGTTGTACCTGTCACAAGTGCTTCTTTCATGCTAACCCTAACCACGCCCTCCTTCCACAAAATGTTCTATTAACTGTGAAAATAAAAAGCAGTCATATTCATCAACAGTTCTTTAAGATATTAAAATGTAAGTATCAGGAGAGACAAATGATATTTCCAGGCCAGCCCTCTCATTTGACAGATGAGGAAGCCGAGATCGAGCTCAATGATTTGTCTAAAATCATTGTGAGCGCTATCACAGTAGCTGATTTAAGCTCTACCCTCAAGCAAATGCTGGCTTTATTAGTCAGCCATAGAGGACACATCTTTTTGGTAAAGGAATGTGTTTAAAGCATGCTAAAGAGTAAAATACCTGGTTCCCCGTATGCATAGTCACACAGTAGGAGGCCAACACAGGCACACCCCATTTTGTTGTGCCTTGCTTTACTGTGGTTATTAAATATTGCATTTCTTTTTAACAAATCGAAGGTTCGTGGCAGCCTGTACTGAGCAAATCTATAGGCACCATTTTCCCAACAGCATTTGCTCACTTCATGTTTCTGTGTTACATTTTGGTAATTCTCCCAGTATTTCAAAGTTTTTTATTATTATTCTGCTTGTTATGGTGATCTGCGATCAGTGATCTTTAATGTTACTACTAAGATTCTCTGGAGGCTCAAATGACGGCTAACATTTTTTAGTAGTAAAATGTATTTTTAAAAATTTTGGGGGGGAGATAATTAGGTTTGTTTGTTTGCTTATTCTTTATTTTAATGGAGGTACTGGGGATTGAACCCAGGATCTCGTGCATGCTAAGCATGTGCTCAACCACTGAGCTATACCCTCCCCCTCAGCAAGAAAGCATTTTTAAATTAAGGTATATACATTATTTATTTAAGACACAATGCTATTGCATGCTTATTAGATCACTGCATAGTGTAAACATAACTTTTCTATGCACTGGGAAACCAAAAAATTCGTATGACTCGCTTTATTGCAATATTCACTTTACTGCAGTGGTTCTAGAACCAAACCTGCAGTATCTCTGAGGTCTGCCTGTAATACTATGAAGACATTAGTAGCTTTAATTTTATATTAAATTAAGGAAGCAAAAACCTCACAACCCTTTTGCTTCGGTCATACCTATAACCTTTATGAAATGAGAACATGTTAACTACAAAATTCAAGGGTTGAGCCAATTCACTGATGTCCAATCTATAAATCTCTACTTTAACACGACCACGTGTGTCAAGAAGCTACAAATGGAAGGGGCACATCTATTGCTGAGCTGAGAGGAGTAAACAGAAAACTGAACACACAATCTTACCTCCATCTGCAAAGCTTCCGCCAGCCCCCGGATGGCAAACTTGGACGAAGAGTAGGCAGTGAAACCGAACAACCCCAGCTGTCCCGCCTGGGAGGACACGAAGACGATCCTGCCCACCCGGCGCTCCTTCATGGTGGTGATCACCGCTCGGCTGGGGTACACGCTGCCCAGGTAGTTGACGCTCATTAGTCTCTGTAGGGAACAAAGAGGCCCCGGGAGTGAGCGAGGTCAGCGCCCCCAGGCTGCCCTCCAGGGCACTCTGCCTGCTCTCCCAGTTTGAGTTCCTCAGTAGGGCCCAGGTGAACGGACCTGCTGAACCAACAAAGCATCAAATAATGATCCCGGAAGTGACCGTGACCACAGTGACCGCAGGACCCACCCCAGGAAGCCTATTTCAATCTAGTCTTCTGTTCCTACAATGACAGCACTTAAGTCTTGGCTGAAGACTGGTCAAAATTTGTTCTCTCCTTTATACAAAGTACACTGTGTGTTGCAGGTAATGCTTTTTGAGAGACAGTTGGAGGAAAGAGCTTCTGAATATTTCCAGCCCTACCAGTTCTAAGTGACAGAAAGACCACAAGGAGACTAGGACAGTGGTTAACAGCACGGACTGTGGTGTGAAATCTGGGCTCTGCCACTGACTCCTGTTGGATGCTGAACAAGAAAGTCAGACACTCTACTTCCTCAGTGAAAACAGAGTTCACACTGATATCATCGCACGGGGCCCGCGGCAAGGACTGAAAGAGGAAACACGAGGTCCGGCACAGCCCCGACCCACAGTGAGCACTCAGCAAATGTCGGCTCTTATATCACGATGAGTAAGAACTTACGTAGGTACCAAGATTAATCTCCCCGCATCCTGGGAACTCTTAAAGACCTTACATTTTCAATCTCAAAATTTAAGAATACCGCATTACAACGTTTCTATATTAAAAATCTTATAAAAATACTAGATTGGCCACCATGTGAAACCAAACACTTCATTGGGAAACCTTGAGTCCATCACGAAATGTTAACCCAACAGAACATTAAGTAACTTTTAGAAATGATGCTCAGAAACACCAGGAGGACAGGGGAAATATTTATAAGTTTAAAAAAAGCTGAGAGCACACAGTATTCACACTGCGACGGCAACTATTTCGATTAATTAATTAAATAAAAGTACACGTGCCCAGGTGCAAAATCGAGGAAATGCAGAAAGCTGTAAGTGACAGTGTTAGGATTCTGGGATTCCCATGTTTCCCCCAAAATGTTTTTTCATATCATTATATTGGTCTGATAATAAAAAAATGCTCTTAAAAAGTGATTGGAGAAAAGGGCCATACTGAACCCATGTGTTGACCTCAGTTCCCCTTCAGAAACCTCACAAAAATCTCAGTAAGGGGACTTTTTTCAAGGCAAAAAGCCCCGTGAGCAAAGAGAGTAGCAGCAGTGACATTTTGGAAGTTGAAGAGCAGAATGAATGAGAACTCACCTGGCAGAAAGCTGAATGCGGGGTGAGGAGCAGAGAAACTAAAAGGACCAGAGACCCCCCCCTAAAAGGCCCAAGCAGCACCAAGTGCCTTGGGGGGCAGGAGGGCGGGCAGGGGCCGGGTGACAGGGCTGTTGGCCGAGAGTCTGCTTAGGAAAGTCAGATGGACAAATCCACCATCCCAATCAGATTTCAACACTCCTCTTTCAATGACTGACAGAACGAGGGGACATGAAATCAGTACAGATGTAGGAGACTCGGGCAATGTTACCAGCCAACTGGACCTAATGAACACTGACAGAACGTCCACCCAAAACAGCAGAATACAGGTGGCCCCCGGTGTCCATGGACAATTGGTTCCAGGACGCCTGCCGATACCAGAATCTGCAAATGCTCAGTGCCTTGTATAAAGCGGGACAGTCCAGCCAGCTGTCTGTGTCTGCGGACGGGGGCGTCAACACTCTTTTCAAGTGCACGTGGAATGGCTGTCAGATCAACCGGATTCTGGGCTATAAAACAAGTCTTAATAAATTTAGAAGGATTCGACGCATGCAAAGTATGTTTCCTGACCAGAATGGAATTAAATTGGAAATCAAAAGGAGAAAGATTTCTGGGAAATCTCCCCAATATTTAAAAACTAAGTAACACACTTCTAAATAACCCAAGGGTCAAAGTGAAAATGATAAGAGAAACTGTAAAATATCTTTAACTGAATGAAAGTAAAAACAGCTTATCAAAATTCGTGGGATGCTGCTAACACAGGACTTGGGTGGAAATCCATAGCACTAAGTATCTGTATTAGAAAAAAGGAAAGAGGTTTCAAATCGATGACCTCGCCTTCCACCTAAAGAAACTATAGAAAGAGCAAATCAAAACAAAAGTAAGCAGAAAAAAAGGAAATAATAAAAATAAGAGAGGAAATAAAATAGAAGGCAGAAAAACAATAGAAAAGTCAGTAAAACCAAAAGCTGGTTACTGAGAAGATCAATAAAACTGATAAACCTCTAGTCATATTGATCAGAAAAGAGAAAGGACACAAATTCTCGATACCAAGAATGAGAAAGGAGACATCACTACAAACTCTATGGGTATTAATAATAAGGGAATATGATGAGTAACTGTTGTCAATAAATTCAATGATATAGATGAAATGGACAGATTCCATCAAAGACATGAGCTACCAAAGGTCACTGCAAAAGAAATAGATGAGAAGATACAGATGTAGCCCTAGATCTATTAACGAAATTAAAGTTAGAAATCTTTCCACAAAGAAAACCTCAGTCTTCACTGGTAAATTCTCCTAAACATCTAAGGAGGAATAATATCAATTCTACACAGATTCTGCTAGAAAAATGAAAAAATATAACCCTACTCACGCTATGAGGCCACCATCCTCCTTACACAAAACCAGAAAATAAAATTACAAGAACACTACAGCTAATATCCCTCAGGAACCCAGAAAGGATCATGCACCGTAACCAAGCAGGGTTTATCCCAGGAAAGCAAGGTTGGAAATACATGGAAATTAATCAATGTAATTCACCATTTTAACAAACTGAAAAAGAACTAGGATCATCCCAACAGGTACAGAAAAAGCACCTAATAAAATGCAACATTCATTCTGTATAAAAACTCTCAGCAAACTAGGAACAGACGGGAACCTTCTCAACTCGATAAAAGGTACCTACAAAAAAACAAAAACAAAAAACTACAGCTAACATCATACTTAATAGTAAAAGACAGTGCTTTCTCCCTAACGTCAAGAACAAGACAAGATTGTCTGCTTTCAGCACTTTTGTTTGATCTTGTGCTGGAAATTCCAGCCAATGCAGTTCCAGATGGGAATGGAACAGGTAAAACTTGCAGATGACATGATCTTGGATGCAGACTGTCCAGGGAGCATTAGAATTAATAGCTGAGCTCAGCAACACTGCATGCTCAATACACAAAAATCAATTGTATTTTTCTGTATTAGCAACAAACACTCAGAAACTGAAATGAAAACACTCATTTGCTCTAGCATCAAAAAAATATGAAATCCTGAAAAACAATATTCAAGACCCAGACACTGAAAATTACAAAACACTGCTAAGAGAAATTAAAGAAAATGTTAACTAAACAAATGGAGCTATATATTATGTTATATGAGTTAGAAGACTCAACGTTGTTCAGATGTCAGTTCTCCCCAAATGGATCTACAGCATCAGTGTAACCCCAAACAAAATCCCAAGAAAACTACTGAAAGGGAACATTAAGAGAAGTGAGTTGGAATTCCCAAAGACCACCTCCGTTCTGGTGACTCTGGTGACACAGTGGTGCCCATGACTGAGACGTATGACAGCAAAAGGACACAAAGCAAAAGGCAGGGCAGAAGGCAGGCCGGCCTGAGTGCAGAAGAAACCAGGAGCACGTTTCCACGCATCCTCTGCCGTGGGGGCCACACGGGACATGCTTAAACCCCCCAGCAATGAGCAGTGCCCAGGCCAAGTACTATGTCTGGCAATTTCTGTGCAGGTAAAATTAAAAAAATAAAATAAAAAAATAAACCGAAAATCTGTCACTGAGCTAGAATCCATTTTAAATAAAAAGGAACCCTTATCTTCAGAAAATGCATCGATCGTAGTGGCAGGTGTCCTAACAGGGCACAGTGGTGATGAGCCCACACCTGGGCTCGACCAGAACAAGGCAAGTGGGCAGAGCGAGAGGGGAGAGAGCCCCCGGGCGCAGAATGGCCTTGGAAGGTGACACTCCCCCGGGGAATGGTGGCCTCCTGCCTCGACTCAGGGCAGCCAGGGCCAGGGGGCGACCAACTGAGCAGGTGGGGCCCACAGCAGGT